ATTTTGTACTAAAAGATCAATTGCTTCCTGAATATCTTTTCCAGCATATGTAACTTTAATATGTCCAGCAAAACAAAATGAAAGCCTAGCATGAAAGATCAACTGCCATGATTTGATGTTTCTCCACTGTAGGAATCTCATCTCTGTATTTACCCATAAGTAATAATTATGAATTCTCTTTATTACAAGACAATACATAAGTTATGTGTTTTCGACTTCATTTCCACAAGTGTATTGAACTAGTTATGGTATCAAGTGTAAAAATCCCAACATGAAAGTTTATCGAACTAGTTAAGAATAGTACATCAACTATGCATCCTTGTAGAAACTTTAAGACCTTGATATTAGTGCATGTCTATCTTTTATGTATAAAATGTAATGGCAGAAGAAAAAAATGATTGCACTCCCATTTTGGGAGGTTACTTAGACAATTAACTTCATGTAGCTTAAAGAGACACATTAAGTGGAAATCAAGAAGTTTTTCGACTTCAAAGAGTGCTTAGCAGTGGTAAAAGAATCAGATTTTTATCTTCTGTACTTAGAAAACAAGTCAAACCTTGAATTGACATTGCCGAAGCTTGGACTTGGGTTATTTAACAAACATGGATCAGTAACAACTGGAGATATAATTGCCAATATTAATTCTTTGTAATTAAATAGACTTTTGATCATCTTCGCGCAGACTTTCAGCCTAGCATTTCCATTAATATAAATTATACACTTGCATCATATTAAAATCAGCATGCAATTCCAATCAATAAATATCAAGCTTTCACCTATCTTTTCAGTCATGCATTTTATCTAATGGGACTTTAAATCTACACCACAAAATATTTCAAGCATTTGGCCTCATAAAGAAAGTAGATAATGTGATTTATTTGGTTTATTGGTTTAACCTCTACAATGTGAACAAATTTTCATTTACCCCTCGTAATATAAAAACTTTTAAAAATTAATTTCAAAACATATTTAAAATACCACATCACATTTTAGAAAATAAAGAAAAAAAATCCATCTAGACAACCACGTAGGATTAAAAGAAGATTTTGGGTTGAAATAGTCAACCAAGGGGCATTACACACGGAATCCACCATTATAAAAGAAAAATCTATCAAAAAATATTACAGGAGAATAAACCAAAATTCGCTAATATTACGGGGGATAACATACATTTAATTCATACTAATTTTACTAGATTTTCTAGAAACGGTTTCGATCATAACTTTTTAACCGTTTATCTAAATGACGAACCGTTTAAAGCGTTGGAAAGCTAATGAGTAGAACTTTAAAATGCTATAATTAGGTGAATTTTTTCCCAAATTTTTTACGTCTAATATGTTTATGAATGTGATTATTACTTGTTGTGTACGCTAAGAAGTCGTGTTGTAAGCGACAAATCTTGAGTGTTGTTTTAATGATGTTGTTATGATGTTAATGGTGGTAATATGAAGATGTTTTCATGATATTTATGTGATGTTAATGATTGTAATATGAATATGTTTTAATGATGTTGATGTGATATTAATGATGGTAATATGAAGATATTTTAATGATGTTGTTGTGATGTTAAATATGGTAATATAAAGATGTTTTAATGATGTTTTCGTGATTGCATAAAATATGTATATCCATATTGTATGAAATGTATTTATGTATTTTATGCTTTTGGCCACTTTGGGCGGTGTACAATAGTCATTGTGGTGGGTTATTCTGCATGATGATGTTGTCGTTGTTGTATGCTTAAGTAGTCGCATTGCATACATTGGTGAACATGAGTAGTGATATTTTATTGTTTGATGTGATTAAGGTTATGTTATAATATGGTGTGATATAATGCATTACTTCAAATGTGATTTTTGAGTTGTTGTGATTGCATAAAAGATATATATGTTGTATGAACTATATGTTATGCTTGTTAGCCAATTTGGACGGTATACAACATCCAAGGTGGTTGGTTATTATGCACGATAATCTTATAGTGGTTGTATGCATAAATAGTCGCATTGCATACATTTATGAAAAATGGTTCGCTGTTGGTGAGCCTAAAATCTCATTGGGTGGATTTGGCCGGTAGCTGATTCGAAGGTAATGGATCCGTGAGTGGTTCTGATTATAAGAGGTGGGGATCCAAACGGTGAACCTGAGTGTTCACGAAAATTTGGTACCACATGCATTGATTCTGTATTGTGCAATAACATTTTATGTGGCATTTGCATGACGTATGTTGATAAGAGGTGATATAATGATATTCGAGACTATGTGATTATATGATGTTTTATGACGAATGATGTATAAGTTCTATTGTGGTTGTAGGTGTGAGTATGTTTCATTTATAGATGATATGTGTTAAAATGATGATGATGTTACTACCAAGTCTTTTCCTTATATCTTTCATAATAAATTGTGATTACTCACCCTGTCTGTTTTAATGTTGCCTCCACATGGGTAGGGATGGCAAAAAAACCCAGACCCGCCGGGCCCCGCCCGAACCCGCCCCGAAATTAGCGGGGAAAACCCGGTTTGAGTGGGTACGGGTGCGGGTACGGGGAAAACCCGGTTTTTAATTACGGGTGCGGGTACGGGGGCGGGGGATGCTACTACCCGCCCCGCACCCGCCCCCGCCCCGCCCCCGGTCTGATGGAATTTACTTTAATATCCCTATTTTAATTATTTTATTATTATATTTTTTTCTCACCCATACCTAATCCGTTATTATTGGCTGGCCATTAACATTGGCATAAAATAACCTTTTCATTTCCTTCCTCAGTTCCTTTCATATCTCGTCTTCTTCTTCTCAACTCAACGGTCTAACACAAGTATACAACAACTCAACGGTTGCGACTTGCCGGCGATTGTGTTTCTCCTCTATTTCTAAAATCAACGGTATTTCATCTCTCCATTCTTATGTCTTTCACAGTTTCTCTTTATATCTTCTTGTGTTCTATATTTTTTTCTAAAAGGGTTTTGTGATTTGAATGATTTCTAGGTGTTCAGTTTGTTTATCTCTCTATTTTTCATCAATTTTCAATTGAAATTTACAAGTTAATAACAGTATATTTTTAATTTGGATTGTGTCTACCAATTGTTTGTTCAAATGTCTGAAAGAAGTTTTGTTATTGTTTCTGAAATAAATGTGATGCTAGTGAAGTCTGTTATTGTTCTAAATTGATAAGGTATTTCAAAAGTGATGCTAGTGTGATACTGTGATATTTCTAAAATGTATGGACTGTTAATGCTTATTTCAAAAGATAATACTGAACATGTATACTATGCTGTTTAATTAACTTAATCAGGTTTTAAAGCTACTGGTTAATGTTTATTTCAAAGCTACTGGTTAATGTTTATTTCAAAAGCTACTGGTTAATGTTAATGTTTATTTCAAAAGTTAATGTTTATCAGATATTATAGTCCTACAATAATTGGTAACCTAGTAAAAGTTAGAAAGACCATTGTTCTATTCTAGCTTCCAATACTTAATTAGTACTTGAAGAACAAACAAAAGAAGGAGAATTTACCTGTCTAGTTTAAAATGCACACTAAGTTATTCTGTAACAGTAAAGTGTTCCTTTAGAAATGAAAAACACATAGAACTCAGAGTTGTGTGGAAGGCCCCAACAAATGTGCATCATTGAATGAGAAAACCTAACTATCAGTAATCTAGTCAGGCAAGAAACCATAGGACCATAGAAAATGTACCTTTTCTAAAAGTTAATTCAAATTTTACTGTTCCATGTTATCTTGTTTCAACCTTGAAGTTTGTTTGTTATTAAATATCGCATGATTTTTATTTTTGTTTTTACATATTTGTTTACTTTTGAAAAAGAGTTTGAACCATGGATTAATATTGGATTCACACAAGTGGTTTGAATCAGATTCCTTTGTCTTAGTTTAACAAAAAGGGTGTTTAGTGGTGATTAGTACCATATAAGTAGAGACCTCATAGCTTCCAAAGTTGCAGTACATCACAACACACTTCTTGTCTTCATAAACTGCATTCTATTTACCACTCTTTACTCAGAATAATAAAATGGGTGGAAACAACAATCAAAGGAAATCAAAATCATCATGGTCTGTTTTCAAAGTTGCAGTACATCACAACACACTTCCTTTCTTCATAAACTGCTTTTATTTACCACTCTTAACATTTTCAAGTCTAGTAGTAACAAATGGAGCTAACTATATAAGTCTGTTATAAGTCTAAATAATTAACATCAGTTAATGGAGCTAACTAATTAATAAAACTAATTCGTTTGATTTTATGCCTGCTTGAGTTGGAATGCTTTGTCTGTTATACTCTTGCTAGTTTTGATTGTTATAAATATGCATGTGCACTATTTTTGTCTCAAAGTTTGATACATATACTGCTTTTATAGTAAGCATATGCATACTTTAGCTTGTTTTGATGTATACATACACTGCTATCTCGTTTTTTAAACAAATATATGCATGTTTCTTTTTGTTTCAAATTTTGATACTACCTGTTTCATTTTGTTTTATATATAAATGTAATTTACTGGTTGAATATATATATATATATATATATATATATATATATATATATATATATATATATATATATATATATATATATATATATTGATACAATATTGTTTTATATATGATTTTACATTATGGGATACAGTACCTTAAGTGACCCTTGCATATCTCTTTTCATGTTATAATGCGAACTGTAATGGAGTTTCTAAGCTAATGTGTTATACTAGAAATTCATATGGACTTATGTGTATATTGTAAATGATTTTTCCATGTTTTTTAATTAATTTATTTTTGATAGTTTTGTTAACTTAATTTTGCTTTAACTAGTTTTTATAATTAGAATTAGTTAGCTCCATTAACTGATGTTAATTAATTTGTATTCATGTCGCTTTTGCTTGGGATGTATGCTTTTGCTTGTGCATTTTGATCATGTCGGATTCATGTTGTAGAATATTAATAATTTTTAGTTTGTTCTTATGTACAACTCAACAGGATAAGTAGTCATGGAAAATGATGGTACCTCTCAAACACAATGTCTACCTATCTCACAAGAAAGTACACATCAACCAATCCCCAATGAAAGTGGTAACCAATCAGTTGATGCTCCTCTTCCTACACCAAATGATAGTATGGAGGTTGATAGCCAAACAACTGTAAGTCGTCGATCTAGACATAGAAGTATTGTATGGGATCATTTTACAAAGGTCAAAGTTGACGGAAAAGATAAGGCTAAATGTAATTATTGCTCAAAGTTGCTTAATGGATCATCAAATGATGGGACGACACATTTAAAAGGACATATGGAATCTTGTCCTAAAAAGAAGCTTTTAAAACCATCAGATAAAGGACAGACATTTCTTACCCCTAAAACTATGCAAGGTAAACAAGAGTTGAGTACTGGAATTTTTGATGCAGAAAATGCTAAGAAAGAGCTTGCACGTGCAATTATTTTGCATGAATATCCGCTTTCAATAGTGGATCATATTGGTTTTAGAAGATACTCAGCTTCTCTCCAACCTTTATTTCAAGTTCCTTGTAGAAATAGTATAAAAAAGGAGATACTCAAAGAGTACAATTTGAAGAGATCATCAACTTTGAAGTTGTTAGAAAATCTTGAAGGAAGAGTGGCCATTACTTCTGACCTTTGGACCTCGAGCAATCAAAAAAAAGGATATATGGCTGTCACTGCTCATTACATTGATGGAAACTGGAATTTACAGAGTCACATTTTGAGGTAAATCTAATTTCTTCTAATAATAGCTTATTGCATATTATATATACTAGTTTGATTGTATATTATTTATACTAGTTTTGTGAATCTTATTATGTTAGGTTTATTTATGTTCCTGCACCTCATACTAGTGAAAAACTGTGTGGAACATTAGTTGAATGTTTGATGGATTGGAACATTGATACAAAATTGTCTACTATCACTTTGGACAATTGTAGCACAAATGATGCAATGATTGAAAAAATTAAGGCTAAGTTGAAACCAGAGACATTATTAAGGGAAGGTGCCTTACTTCATATGCGTTGTTGTGCACATATACTAAATTTGATAGTAAAAGAAGGGTTAGAAGTTGTGAAGGATGGGATAGAGAGGATTCGAGATAGTGTTGCATTTTGGACTGCAACACCTAAAAGGAAGGAAAAGTTTGAGGAGACATCCAAACAGTTAAAAATACCTTGCACCAAGAATTTAGTGTTAGATTGTCCAACTAGATGGAATTCTACCTATAAGATGCTTGATGTTGCTATTTTGTATGAAGATGTATTTAATAGATTAGCAATCCGTGTAACTCAGTACACTTGTTTGCCAACAAGTTTACAATGGAAATTTGCAAAAGAGATTTGTGGAAAATTAAAATTGTTCAATTCCATCACTGAAGTGTTTTCTGGAACTAAGTATCCAACTGCCAATGAATACTTTCCTAAGATTTGTCAGATTAAAGTTGCATTACTTGAGTGGATTGGATCCTCTGACGAATTGGTAAAAAGAATGGCAGAAAACATGTTGGTAAAGTTTGAAAAATATTGGAGTGTGATTCATGAAATAATGGGTGTTGCTGCTGTTTTGGATCCTAGGTATAAAACTGATTTGCTCGAATATTATTATGGAGTCTTCTATGGGAATGATGTTGATTTCCAAGTTAAGTCAATCAGACAGGTGTGTTACGAATTGCTTTATGATTATCAATTGAAAATGAGCAATGATTCTAGAAGTGAATCTGAAATATTGGATGCTAATGTTGATAATGTTAGTAATGATGGTTTAAAAGAATATGATTTGTATGTCATAAGGAAAAAAAGAGCTAGAACTTCATCTGTTAAAACGGAGTTGGATGTTTATTTGGATGAGGAAGTTTTACCAAGAAGTCCAGATTTTGATATTTTATTGTGGTGGAAGTTGAATGGCATTAAGTATCCAACACTTCAAGCAATTGCAAGGGATGTATTGGCAATTCCTGTTTCTACTGTAGCTTCTGAATCTGCATTTAGTACAAGTGGTCATATCGTAAGCCCTCATCGAAGCCGACTTCATTGGACCACTTTAGAAGCTTTGATGTGTGCAAGAAGTTGGTTATGGAGTGCTGAAAATACTGGTAAGACCTTTCTTGTTATTATTTTTTTATACTAGAACTTTCTTGCTGAAAATACTGCCAAAAATTGTTTGAAATTTTAATGTCCATATGAGTTGTGCAATTTTGAAAGTTAATATTCACGTGGAAAATTGTTTGAAATGCATTGTGCTTGTTTATTTGTTGATATTCTGTTATTAAATTTTTAGTGTGCTAGAAATGAGTTTTGAAACATTAGGTTTATAATATATAAAATTTATAAAATCATATTATGTTTGAAATATGAGCATATGACTGTCAGTAGTGTTTGAAAAAATATGCATCCTCATGCTTGAACTTACTAAATGCATGCTCATGTGCCACTACCAGTAGGTTTTTTTGAAAAAAAGTACACTATTAGTGAAGTGGTTATTAGAAGCAGGTTATTTGAAAAAAAGCATATGACTGCCAATAGGTTTTTTTGAAAAAAAGTACACTATTAGTGAAGTGGTTATTTGAAAAAATCATATTATAGTTTTTATTTTATAAAATAGTATCAAATAGACTCTAAGCCTTCAATGAAATACATTTACTTTTTAGTGAAGTGGTTATTAGAAACAGTTTTAGTGGTAAAGAAAGTTGAGAAAAACCATGATGTAAAATTATAATTTAAATTAAATTTAAGGATTATTTTGGATATAATTATAGTATATGAATGGTAGAATTAGAAAGAAAATAAGTCAGTCCAAATTTCTCTATCCCATTTATCTATATGTATATATGTCAAGACTATCATTTGACTATATTTTACTATATTGATAGGTAATTTGAAATCTAACGTGGGAAATGAAAATGCCATTTTACTCAATGAAATGGAGTCTGATGATGAAGGTATTATTCATGCTATTTGTATTAAATTTGTCAAGTTAAATTTTTATGTTTTAACTTTTATTTTTCAATACAGATGACTTGTTGATCAATGGTGCTACTTCTATTTCCAACTCCCGCCTCGAAGATGAAGATTATTAGAAAATTTGTTGTTTATTTGAAACCTTTTTCGTTATGATGATTTAGTTTTTTTTTCCATGTTGTTGGATTGGTTCTTTTGTTGATGGTACTGTTTTATTTTTGTATTTGTACTTTGTAAAAAATTGTTGTTGTGAGTGATCTATACCTTGAATCACACCAAGAATATTTGTGTAACTTTAAAAATATTATGATTAGAGGAAAATGTTTGTACTGATTTCAGGTTTATGATTGAAAAAAATATTTGTCCTAATTGCAATTAAAATAATCAAAATAATCAAGTTAATATCATTTACTAATTAAAATTTTAATTAAATAAATAAATAATTTATTAAAATAATCAATTTTTTAATTAAATTATTAATTTTTATTGCAATTAAAAAAAATATTTTTTTTTGCGGGTGGGGGCGGGGCGGGTGCGGGTGCACCCGTTCTCTACTGGGGGCGGGTCTGGGCGGTAAATTTTTACCCCCGGTCGGGTTTGGGGGCGGGGGCGGGTGTGTTACATGAAAGCGGGTGCGGGTGCGGGTATACTAAAACCCGCCCCCGACCCGCCCCGTTGCCATTCCTACACATGGGTAACGCGCAAAAGCTCCTGAGTAGCTTGTAGAAGGGTTGAAGATAGCTTTGGAATATCTTATTAGTTTTCGTTAATTAGAAGGTGTCTTGCTCTGATATGTAATATAAAGTTGGAAATGTCAGTTATGCGAATGTTGTGTTTCCTTGACTAATACCTTTCATGATGATTTTGAAGATGTCCAACTATTGTAATTCCAATTCAAATGATATGTTATATTGTTAGCATATTTAATGAGTTTGAGATATTAAATTGATTTAAATTTTAAATTTTGACGAGACTAAGATATTTTGATATTATGAAGATGAATGAAATTATTTTATAATTATGATTCTGCTGTGAAGTTCAATTTATGTGTTGAAGTCATAAAAGAAAATGATGTTATAGATGTTGTAACCCATGTTGCGGAGCAAGATGATTATTATGAATTTTTTATATGAAGTGTGACACCTCATAATATAAAAAAAAAAAAATTTTAAATAGTCTTTAAAAAAAATTTAAAATGTCATATGGCATTTTTGAAAATAAATAAAAAAATCCATCAGGACAACCACGTAGGATTAAAAGAAGATTTTGGATTGAAATAGTCAACCAATGGGCTTTACACACGGAATCCAACATTATAAGAGAAAAATATATAAAAAAAATATCACAGGCGGATAAATCGAAACTCACTAATATTACAGGGGATAACTTACATTTAATTCATACTAATTTTACTAGATTTTCTAGAAACAGTTTCGATCATGACTTTTTAACCGTTTATCTATATGAAGAATCGTTTAAAGAGTTTGAAAGCTAATGAATAAACTTTAAAATTGTATAATTTGGTGAATTTTTTTTCCCAATTTTTTTATGTCTAATATGTTTATGAACGTGATTATTACTTGTTGTGTACGTTAAGAAATCGTGTTGTAAGCGACAAATCTTGAGTGTCGCTTTAATGATGTTGTGATGTTAATGATGGTAATATGAAGATGTTTTAATAATGTTTATGTGATGTTAATGATTGTAATATGAATATGTTTTAATGATGTTGATGTGATATTAATGATGGTATTATGAAGATATTTTAATGACATTGTTATGATGTTGATGATGATAATATGAAGATGTTTTAATGATGTTGTTGTGATTGCATAAATATATATATATATATATATATATATATATATATATATATATATATATATATATATATATATATATATATATATATATATATATATATATATATATTATATGAAATGTATTTTATGCTTATTGGCCACTTTGGGCGGTGTACAATAGCCATGGTGGTGTGTTATTGTGCATGATGATGTTAGCGTTGTTGTATGCATAAGTAGTCGCATTACATACATTTGTGAACATGAGTATTGATTTTTTATTGTTCGATGTGATTGAGGTTATGTTATAATGTAGTGTGATATAATGAATTAATTCAAATGTGACTTTTGAGTTGTTGTGATTGCATAAATAATATATATGTTGTATCAACTATATGTTATACTTGTTGGCCAATTTGGGCAGTGGACAATAGCCAAGGTGGTTGGTAATTGTGTAAGATGATATTGTAGTCGTTGTATGCATAAATAGTCGCATTGCATACATTTGTAGACAATGGCCCGTTGTCGGTGAGCCTAAAATCCTATTGTGTGATTTGGGTCGGTAGCTGATTTGAAGGTGTTGGATCAGTGAGTGGTTCTGATCATAAGAGGTGGGGATCCGAGCGGTGAACCTGATTGTTCACGAAAATTTGGTACCACATGCATTGAGTCAGTATTGTGCAATAACATTTTATGTGGCATTTGCATGAGGTTTATTGATGAGAGGTGATATGATGATATTCGAGATTATGTGATTATATAATGTTTTATCAAAAATGATGTATAAGTTTTATTATGGTGTGTAGGTGTGAGTATGTTTCATTTATAGATGATATGTGTTAATATGATGATGATGTTACTACCAAGTCTTTTCTAATATCTTTCATAGTGTTGTGATTACTCACCTTGCATGTTTGAATGTTACCTCCACGTGGGTAACGCGCAGATGCTCTGGAGTAGCTTGTAGAAGCGTTGAAGATAGCTTTGAGGTACCTTATTAGTTTTCTTTAATTAGAAGGCGTCTTGCTCTGATATGTAACATCGGGTTGTAAAGCCAGTTATGCGAATGTTGTGTTTCCTTGACTAATACCTTTTATGATGATTTTGAAGATGTCGAACTATTGTAATTCCAATTCAAATGATATGTTATATTGTTAGCATATTTCATGAGTTTGAGATATTAAATTGATTTAAATTTCAAATTTTGACGAGACTTAGATATTTTGATATTATGAAGATGAATGAAATTGTTTTATAATTATGATTCCGCTGCGAAGTTCAATTTATGTGTTGAAATCATAAATGAAAATAATGTTATAGATGTTGTAACCCGTGTTACGGAGCAGGATGATTAATCTGAATGTTTTGTATGAAGCGTGGCACACTTGAATGGTGAATTAAATTGAATTATCCTGATTATTTTACGAATTACTCGGTGGGGTTGGAAGGGTGTTACACCCTGTACCTACACAATATATTAAATATTGGTAATATATTATAATGATAATGATGATGGTGATGATGATGATGATGATGATGATGATGATAAGAGATTATGACCTGAAGGAAATTAGAGCAACATAGATATCAAAATCCAACAAGAAAAATCTAAACCATTTTTTACTAAAAGATTAATTGCTTCCTGAATATTTTCTCCAGCATATGTAACTTTAATATGTCCAGCAAAACAAAATGAAAGCCTAACATGAAAGATCCATTGCCCTGATTTGATGTTTCTCCACTGTTGAAATCTCATCTCTGTATTTACCCATAAGTAATAATTAGGAATTCTCTCTACTATAAGATAATACATAAGCTCTGTGTTTTCGACTTCATTTCCACAAGTGTATCGAACTAGTTCGGATATGAAGTGTAAAAATCCCAACATGAAAGTTTATCGAACTAGTTCAGGATAGTGCATCAACTATGCATCCTTGCAGAAGTTTTAAGACCTTGATATTGGTGCATGTCTATCTTTTATGCATACAATGTAAAAATCTCAACATGGTAGAATAAACAAATGATTGCACTCCCATCTTGGGAGGTTACTTAGACAATTCACTTCATGTAGCTTAGAGAGACACATTAAGTGGAAATCAAGAAGTTTTTCGACTTTAAAGATTGCTTAGGAGTGGTAAAAGAATCGGCTTTTCATCTTCTGTACTTAGAAAACAAGTCAAACCTTGAATTGGCATTGTCGAAGCTGGGACTAGGGTTGTTCAACAAACATGGATCAGTAACAACTAGAGAGATCATTGCCAATATTATTTCTTTGTAATTAAATAGACTTTTCATCATCTTCATGAATACTTTCAACTTAGCATTTCCATGAATATAAGTTGTACACTTGCATCATATTAAAATCTGCATCCAATTTCCTTTAATAAATATCAAGCTTTCACCTTCCTTTTTAGTCATGCATTTCATCTAATGGAACTTTAAATCTACACCACAAAATATTTCAAGCATTTGACCTCGTAAAAAAAGTAGAGAAAGGTGGTTTATTGGTTTAACCTCTGCAATGTGAACGAATATTTATTTACCCCACTTAATAGAAAAAATTTTAAAAATTAATTTTAAAAAAAAAAAATTTAATTACCACCTGGCATTTTAGAAAAAAAACCATCTAAAAAGCCACATAGAAAAAAAAATTTGGGTTGAAATAGTGAACCAAGGGACTTTACACGTAGAATCCAACATTATAAGAGAAAAACTATAAAGAAATATTACATATAGATAAACTGAAACTATCGTTAATATTACAATGACAACGTACATTTTAACTCATACTAATTTTACTAAATTTTCTTTGTTAATCATTGATGTATTTATTATTACTATATATAAAAAATATGATTCGTGGAGATATGTAGAGACAGAGTATATACATGCACACATAATATTATGTGATCTTTATTTATATTGGTTAAAAAGACATAAATATAAGTGGTGTTTATTTAGTTTAATGTAGAATCTACCTAGTTGCAACTCATATGTAATAATATACGATCCGTTGTAGAGAATCCAATTTACTCTGCGAGCCATGCTAGGAAAAGAAAGGGGTAGTAGGAAATGTATCGCATGGCCTTTCTAGTTGAAGCTGAGGGGAGGAAAAGGACTGTGTACAACAAAACCACAAGCACAACAAAAATCACAGCCACAACTAGAAAGAGATTGGCCAACCATCTAAGTGGACTGATAACTGTATAAAGACCAGCCATGAAAGCCAAAGTTAGTGAAATGAGTGCTCTTCCGTCTGCTTCGCCTGGAACCGCAAAACATGCTGCTACTGAAGCAGTGATTATAAGGGTTGAAACCAATATGAGTGTCTCTACCCTGTCTTTATATTGGGTGTCAGCACCTGCCAGAAAAAAATATTGCGCAGTATTGGAGACAATTTCATTACTTTCATTCGGGTTCGTGTCACTTTCTTTCTGCTTTGATTTTGCTGAGTTTGAATCACTTTGTCTCCATTTACTATGGAGTACTCTTTTAAAACTTGATTTTGCACCAACAGAATTTAGTGCAGTGCGTGTAAGTTGCTGCATGCATTACGTATATTGTCAATAAATAAATGAATATATATATAAAAGATAATAGTAATACTTGCCTGTCTCGTGGACGAACGACCAAGTTGAGAAATTTCATTTGCAACATCAAGAGGTGTTTGGTTGTTTTGGTTAACAAGATCATAATTCACTCTTTTATCCCATATTAAGTAAAATACTGTTTTGGGATGGAACGATTTTGCTGCTAGATGCAAAGGCGTATTTCCTTTACTATCCTTTTGATTTATCAACTTATGTTTCTTATCATGTTCACGAATTTGATCATTTTGTAGTATGTAACGTACAACCTCGTATTTTCCATAGTGTGATGCCATGTGAAGAATATTACGTCCACGAGAAGTGTCAAGCATTTCTGTTGCGAGACTTGTCTAATATCAGATCGACTGCATCACTGTTCTCATTTTCAACTGCAAGGTAAAGAGCTGTTTTGTTTGCATTATTAGTAATTTTCATTGCATATTCATTAATACTATTTGGCAAACCTTCTGTTTTGAAAAGTTCACAAACTTTGAAAATCATATCCCCACCATTTTTGATCTTGTCACATAACATTAACTCATGAAACATAGTGTTGCCTTGATCATTCTTCAATTTTACAAATTCAAGTAGATCAAACGCACTACACTTTTCAATATGGTCAATGTCTCTATTAAGCAGTGTTGATTTATACTCCTGCATCCGAATATTTTTATAACCTTCTAATAGCTTTTTAACTGTTGAAAATTTTCCACCTCTTGCAGCAGCATGCAAGACACCATCCTCGTTTTTGTTAACTGTTATCAAGAGTTTTGGGGCACGTTCAATTAAAAGAGTAACAATGTCATCATTACCATTCCAAGCTGCAATATGTAGCACACTGTTTCCCATAGGGGTACTAATAGCAAGTAGATCACAAGATTGACCTAACAAATTCTTTGGAACCCCGCAGCCCAAATGATATGCTTCATTAATCAAACTAATTTGATTATCGTTACATTTTTCAAGGACATTACTGATTCCAGAGGGTTCTATTTCAAGTTCAAGTTCATCGTCATTCCTATTCGCCATATTTGATGAGGCTTCTTCATCTTGCAATGGCAAATTAAAAAAGAATTTTTTTGTTGCTGGCATTTTCAAATCTCAACCTGGTGATAAAAAGACTGTATCTTGAATATTTTCGACTCATAGTTCAAAATGTTAATGAATATTTTGGAACAAACTTAAATAAATCTATTGTGTGATTTGTGTGATAGTACTCATTAACTTCAACATTGCTATTTCTACCCAACACATTATTATGGCTTTTGTTTTAATTAATCACTATAAAATTGATTTGAATTTTAATTAATTTTTATAATATATAGAATATTTAATTTTTACTAATCTTATAAATTTAGTTTACAAGATTAAACCACAAGCTAAATAACATATATTTATAAAAATTAAATATGTGAAAGATGATATCTAATATCTGAATTCCAATAATATGCATTGATAAAAATAAAATATGCAAAAGAAATGTAAAACAATATGTAAAATATAAAATAAATATTGCAACACAGATAAGACTATTTTAAGCTATCCATTAAACATTTACATATGCAGAAAATGTAGAGTTATATTGAATTAAAATTAATGACAAACCAAAATATCTTCTGAACTGCTTCAAGCCCGATCTCTATTGCGTATTGGTTGCTACTGATGACCATAAAAAATATATCTATCTATATATATTACTGTAATTGATTCTTTAATGTTCTTTACGTAAGGATTTCAAGATATTCTAGTTAAGCTTTTCCTGCACAATTAAAGAACAATTCTTTACTCTATTAGCAATAAAAGATATATATATCCTCCCTTTCTTCATTGGGAAGGACGATTAAACGATTTTGCCAAAATATTTAGATCCCATAGATTTAAGGCATATATTTCATCATTATTATTATTATTATTTAAGGGAAATACTAACCAATGTTTCTGGACACAGGTTAACAAATTAAAAAACTAATTTGAAAATTTTTGAAGAGATTAAAAATAAATTTATTTTAAATATATGTGTATTTAATGTAGTGAAAACATGAATAACTAATTTGTTTAAAAAATCTTGTTTGTATTGAATGAATAAAATATATAATATATTTTTTTATTTGAAATTTTTAATCCGTCCTTTCAAACACTGGTTAGCGTGATTCATTATCTAAATATATTTATTTAGAGCATAAATAACCAGAGTTTTTAACAGTGTTTTAACATTTTTCAAACACTCTTTTCAAACATTCTTTATGGTTTCAAAAGTTCAGATGAGTGTTCTTAAAAAAATATATATTTGCATAAAAACGAATATATCATGTAATATTACAAAAATCAATCATAATTTTTTTATTAATTAAAAAATAAAAATAAAATTTTTATTTTTTTGGTTATCACCACCACCTCATAATTTTAATTAAAATAGAAATTGAATTTAAATTAAATATAAAATTTTTCTCTTTCCTTATTAATTATTTATAAGAGTATGAATATAGGTGAGTTTCTATGCAAATATTTCTCGTGTTTTTAAAATAAAAATATACATATAAATAAATACTCTTTCAGATCTCATTTATAAGTAAAATCTTTTAAATTTTGTTGACTTAAATATAAATAAATATCAACAAATCCAAATACATTTAATATATTTTTTTCTAAAACTATCTCTGCATTAGTTAATTACTTAATATAGATAGTTGATGTTATTTAATTAAGAGTATATTAATAATTGTGTTATCTTTTTTATATGAAATTAGAAAAATGTAAATTAGATGTTTAAATAATTAAAAAGATTAAAATAATATAAAAATAATAATAGAACCTACTTGAAGAATTCAAATAATAATAATTGTTATTGTATTATTTATCTTTGTTAGAAAGAATGTATATATACACATAATATGTATGAGTATGGATATATTCTATTCTACCATTTAATTATTCTATTTTTTTCCTTGCATATACATTTTTAAACTTTTTAATTGTTTAAACAAATAAATGAAAAAAAGAGGTTTCTTTTTGAAAAATTGTTACAAAGTTACAAGATATATATTTTAAAAAAAAGTTGGTACGATAAAAGAAAAAAGAGTTGTTTGAACTGAATTAAAAAGAGAGTTTGAATAGAAAAGAGTTGTGAAATGAGAAAAGTGTTGTTTGGATGTTGTAAATGTATTGTTTGAACTAAGATTGTAATATCTCATATTCTCTTAAATGCCTCCCCATCTGATGTTGTTGATATTGTTGATATTGTATGACAAAACATTCATTGATAAACAACTTTGACTTTCTCCCTCTTAACCTTCTCTACCTTGTCTCTTTCTTCCATCAATGAAATTTCCTCTTCCATTGCCTCCTTACTACCTTCCCCTGAGATGCTAAGCGACGAAATAATGTCTCAGACTTTCATTGAGACTTTAGAATCCATTTGAGCCCATAACCTCTTGTTATCTTAATTGACCTCAGAGTCAGTCACTGAGAGACACTTGTGATCAGAATCACCTAAATTAGGAACCTTTAAAACAGTCGCCGAGGCAAGAGAATGATGAATGAAAATCCCCTCTACTGTTGATTGAATGCGAAGGAACTTTAAGACCTTAGGAATTCAAAGAGGAATAATCTTCTGATCCATGAATTAGGACCATACGAATTGAGGATGAAGAGGGAATGGACCCCCCTAAAACGGAGTCAAAATTTCCTAACTCCACAAAAGCGGAAAAGATGTAAGTATCCTCGGCGCTCCTACAAACAGAGCAAACATTAATGTCAGTACATAAATCGCAAGAGTAAGTATCATCATAATCTAATAAAGATGGAAAATCAGATAACAACTCAGGATAAATATCATCAACTAAATCAGACAATAACTCTTTTGGATTCACTACTGTTTGGGCGGGTAGTTGGTTTGATACTTGAGCTTGCTGCATGGCATTTACTATAGTGGCAAGTTGTCCAATCTATGTCTGCAAAGTCTGAATGCTAGAATCGGTCCTTTGTTGGAACTGGAGATCATTCATAGCCATTTTCTTGACAAGGTCCTCTAATGAAGGTTCAGAAGGTGTAGAGCACACAATTTGAAATTCATTCATATGTTTATTCGGATCCTCACCTGCAAGTCCATTAAAGCTTGGCAAAAAGTGTATTAAACTAGATTTTAATTCAAAAGGAACAACAACATCATCATATTCAATACACAAGTCATTATAATTCACATCAAGGGCAGCCAATTGCCTTAAGGTTCTATTATCAGCCATTTCAAAATCAAGTTCAGTATCCGAAGCAAACAAGTTATGCAGATAGTCAGACTCAGACTTAGACTCAGACTCAAACACAATGATGGAAAACGATTACTTAAATTTCAGAAAAATAAAATAACACCAGAATTAAGCTAATTAAGCAAAATAACATTTATGAGAATTTTTTTGATTTTTTTCGACTTTATAAAAACAGTAAAAAATTCATTAAAAATAGAAAAAAGGGTTTTTTGGCGATTCTGAGGGTGGATTCCAAGTATTCCTTTAGGAATACAAGGAATACATGGACTAATGACCGGATGATTTTTATGCTTCTCGTAGGCAAAACAATTTTACGATCGGACACAATTTTTCCAAAAACCGATTTTTTTCGACTCTAGACGCGAGAAGGCCAAAAACTTGGGGAACCTAGGGCCTAAGCACAACAACACTAAACCTATGACTCTAATAACTATTAATAACGACAAGAATCCCCGGCAACGGCGCCAATTTGATCCGCTATCGCGCGCGGATCAAAAACGAGTGTTTTTGTAAAAATGCAGTATAGCGACAATACTCGGAATATCGTTCTCAAGGATTTTTTATTATTACTAATCGAATAAAAAGGGGTTTTTTTGGTAATGATCAATTAAATAAAGAGATTGCAATTAAGCGGTTAAAATAAGTGATTATCAAAATAAGTCAATCTACTGTTTTCGGTTCCGGCTTATCACAGGTTTCTACCTTACCAATTTCCTAAGCAACTTGGATCTCTATTTGATTCCTATGTCAATTGACAAGCGCAAAATATATAAACTAGATTGACAATCCTGTATTCCGAATTAAGCAAACGGATTAAGTTTTCGTTAATTAAGCAAACACGAATTATAAACGCGAATTAACGACAAAGCGACGTAACGGCGAATAAAAGTTAAGGATGCAATCATACGAATTTAATCAAAACAATTCTATAAACTAACAGATTAAGCAAATGCAATTCATAGAATAGTGTTTAAAGAGAAACGAATTAAATTGATAAAGTATAAACCTCAAAGCGTTTGAACGCGATTACAGCAAATTGACTCTAAGGAATTAGTTCTCCATTCCAATCGTATAAGCTTCAACAATATTTTCGTGAATAGTGAATAATGTGAACAATAACACGAGTTCTCCTTAAAAAGGCAAACAATGGATCCGGTTCAAAACCCAACTGGGTCGAAAATATAACCCAGGCCCAAAACATGACCCAAAACTAAAACAATATCCTAATGCTGCAACTTCAACGAATATTCTAGGAAAATATGTTCCGAATATGACTTTGACTCCAACACGAAAGTTGTAGCTCTATCTCTTAGCTTTCCGGTGATTTTTAGAACGCCTCAAACAGATTCCCGGAACTCCAGTTACGATCGTTTCTGTGCAGACTGCTAAAGCTGAAAAATAAAGTGCGAAAATCAAATTAAACCAAAAATAAAATAAAATGTAAAAACATAATAAAACATAAAAATAATCAAAATAAAGTAAAGAAATGCCTAAGTAAAAATATAGGAGAATGTGCATAAATATGCACTGATCACTTAGTTTAGTTTAGACTACTCAATTAGCATGGATAAAAAATGGATGTCTTCCAATCGATTGTCTAAAGAGTACGAGAGTGGGGTATCGAAATTCGTTAAGTTTGCTGTTGAACACGCCAAAGACCCCAGTAGTATCACATGTCCTTGCTTAGGTTGTTGTTATGGGCGTCGAATTGACGCCGTTCAATTGGAATCTCATTTAATGAGACATGGAATTGATCAAAGTTATACATGTTGGACATTACATGGTGAGATAAGTAACGAGAATGTCGAACCCGGGGATAATATGACCTAT